GACCACATCCACAGCCTTTCCCTCATCCACTAGGCGGGCCCCCTGGTCATAGAAGGAGATCAGGTTGGTCAAATAGAACCTGCCTCTCATGAACCCATGCTGGCTGGGCCTGATGCCCTGGTTGTCCCGCACATGCCTTGTGAGTGCCCTCAAGATGATGATGGCACTCAAGATGATGTGCTCCATAACCTTCCCTGGCACTGAGGTCAGACTGACAGGCCTGTAGTTCCCCGGATCCTCCTTCTGGCTCTTCTTGTAGATGGGCATCACATTTGCAAGCCTCCAGTCATCCGGGACCGGACGACTTTTATATACATAAAAGTAAGACAAAAGCAAGCATATATATATATATAAAATAAAATTTCATTTACAGAACACTCATTTTCAGGCAGAACATATGCTCTTTATTTTCTGGAAATAACTGCAAACACCTTTCAGGAGAGAATCTGTACAAATTCCCACCACGTCACGGCCTCCCATCATAGGTATTCATGCTCAAACACCTTCTCTGGATTCCTCATTCCTCGCTGCTATTCTCAAATCCCTACATTTCAGGGATTGTCTAGCCCTCACACTTCATTTCTTCCTCAAATCCTCCTTCACCCACTCCCAGACTTATGATCCCTTCAAAGCTATGCATAGAACAATCTCCCTTCCTTTTTGCCAAGCAATACCCTTGTCCTCCTTCAAATCTGCTGAAAACTTACCTTTCGCTCAGCTGTACATCACTGTTCTCTTCTATAGTATTGTTTCAGTCTTCCTAGTGTGAACCTTTCCTGTCTGTCTTCCTTTTGTTTAATTTAGTGTTTAAACTCCTTATTGCAGAAAATTCATCTTTTCATGAATTTGTGAAGTGTCACGTACCTTATGAAAGTATTTAAATAACAGTATTACAAATAAGCACCATGTAGTACCTTTCTATTCCATTCAGTTTATGACGATGCTTTCGGGACATTAAGAGCCCACCTCCCCAGGCAGCCTGGAAGAGATAGAAAAAAGAGAAGACTCATTATTCTGGAAAAGCCTAACATATTTTAATTTACTCAGGATCTAGTAATAAATCTTTTAATTCAAGACAAAACACATGTAAACAAAAATCATCTTTTGCCAGAATAATAGCACTTCATTTAGTTACTTACGTCTACATGGAGCCAGAGGTTATATTTTTCACATATATCTGCAATCTCCTGTATTGGATCAAAGGCTCCATATACTGTTGTGCCTGCAGTTGCATTTACAAAAAGAGGAATGTATCCCTACAATAAAAATAAAAATATTAAATACAAAATCCAACCTCTTTCAGGAAAAAAAAGTGAAAATCATTTTAGAAATGTTGCTATCCCATTTTCCAGCCTAAAAATGTTTTTCTTCCCACGTGAAAGGTACATATAAGCAACAATAGAAACTAACAAATTATATACGTGGTAGGAACAAACTCTGTTTTTATTGTACTGTAATTTCACTAAATTAACTAGTCAGAAGGTAAAGATTATTATTTTGTCTAATCTCTTTCAGTGAGGAGATTCAAACGTTCTAGTAGAAGACTAGCAATAGTCAAGTAAAGTTGAGACTTTTACAGCAGTATAAAGGAAAATTAAGTAAATGTGATTTGTAAGTTGTGATTTGAAGGCTTGAAGTTGTTCCTTTAGTCTTTATCTACTAATAAACAGAACAAAGCAGAACAAAGCAATCCAAAACAAAAGCAATAAATGTGGAACTAGCAGATCAAAGTGAGACAATTTTGAATTAGATGAAATAAATGTGAACTTCAATTTCATAGAGTGCCCAAATGTAAAGAAGTTAAGAAAGAAAAAATTAATAATCTTGATTGCTCTACCTTTGGTGGTTTTATACAAAATTAATGGATTTTTCATCGCATTGATTCAAGAAATAACGATGAATGCCTCAAAAATTTAAACTTACTGGCTATACTTACTAACCCTGCAGCCTCACACTTGAAATCTATGGGAATTTTTAGGACTTCAATAGAATTTTTGATGGTTTTGGCTAAACTTTAAAGTCTGGATAAAAGTAGGTTTAGTTTCATGTTTTCATACTTTTTTCTATATATTTCCAAACAGAAAGTTATTTTTAAAAGTTATAAAATACAGATGTGGTTCAAGAGTTAAAAATACTTTGTTTTTAAACAGTAAATGGAAACCTTAGCAAGACATATAGATAATTCCCTAAACAATGCATGAATGTATAATTAAACAGCTGAAAATGTTATTATAATATTTATATCATTATAATGTTCTCTTTTAGTGTTAACCCTCAGCCTTCAAAGGAAAAGATAATTTTACTAAGCCAAGCATTTAAGCACTAATTTTTAAAAACACAAACCTTCTGTTTTGCTTCCAAAATTTTTGCCTCCAAATCAGCTGGTATTATTTTGCCTCTGTAGTTATTGTAGAAACAGAAAGACAAAGAAAATTAAAGAATGCATATGGAAATACTAGCTACAGTTGAAATAATTTAATAGGGTTTTCTCAACAGGCCATTAGCAACTTGACACACTGTACTGAACCAATCCTTAATCACAATACAACAAATTTAACAGATGAAGACATTTAACATATCAAAACCTTAGCATTCATCCTACCTTTCATTGCATTTTATCAAAATCACATTGTCTGTTCCAAATCCAAGTGCAGCTCCAGCTTTCTTTATTGAGTAGTGACTCTGCAGCAAAACATGCACATTTGAGTGGTTGTTTAATGATGAAGCATCTTCACAACATACATCAATAAATTAAGAATTAGCAGCGTATCAAGCTCACATGTTCCGAGGTAAAGAGAACCAGTTTAGGGACTGCAGCCATGCCTTTGGTTTTGACTTCAGGGAAATACTTGTAGCGTGCAGCCATTATGCTGTACATGTTGGAGATAGCTCCTCCTGTGAATGAATAAATGAATGAATAATAAAATAGTGGTAATGACAAAAAAATGCATATTGGACTGAAGACATACAAGTCTCATTTGAATTATGCAGTGAAAGCGGCAGTGAACTATGCAAAAGTAAATCTCTGAAATGCACGGTCATCTGTCTAAACAGCACAGGGACAGACCCTCTAGAAAGTCATACTGATAGAATTTCCTATCCATCATGTCTTTCAATTGCTAACATTTTGTAACACATTCCTAAAAATTCAACTTTCATCGTGCTGCTTTTGCATGACAACTTCTTGTCAGCAAGAATAACAGGAAGTTATCAAATTGTCCAAGACTGAAGAAATGTCACATACTGGATGGATTTATCCCACCTCACTGTAGAAATAGAAGTAGATGCCTAAAAGGTAGATTTCTACAGCTGAGCTATTTATTTTAAG